CAGATTTGCCTAATGTGATACATCGTTTGATTTCTTGACTTCTGCTTCTATGAGTGATGATGGTGGATCCAAGCCAAATGAAGCTACCTTAGGTTCTGGGAAACAGCAGATGGTAGGGGCATTCAAAGCTTTGAAAATCCCAATTTTGCTCTGTTTCTCAGTTTCCTTCCTCTGTGGAGCAGGAATAATGACATTTAAAGATGTGTGGGGGCACTGAGCTAAAGCTACTCTGCTAAATAAGGGCTCTGGCATCCCAGTCATCCTCCCACAACAGAGGGACACTATTCTAGGAAGAGGTCTGCAGTCACATTCTCTCATAATCTCATTGCTTCCAGATGCAGATCTGACTCTGGGCCTTAGGATGAGTTCCCGGCTGCCATATTGAGACCAACGACACTGGACACTGGAGAGAAAGAGTCCACACTCTAGTCAGTTTAGTGGTCAGATTTTATTCTGAAAGGGTGCTTTTTGGAGGCTGACACAAAGAACCAGAGCAATGTTCTCTGGCAAGGGGGTGAGAACGAACTCTGTGGGAAATGGAAGGAGAGTTCCCCATTGGCAGCCTCCACCATGCAAGTCCCTCTCAAGGAGACAAGTGATGGCTTCAGTCCTTGGGACCCAGGAAGAAGAAGTGTACTGCTGGGGAGGACCAGAGCCCATGACTAGATTCCCAAAAAGACAGCTGAAAGAGGGATTTCACACCAAAGACCCAAGACTAGCATTCATTTATTTGTAGACAGCAGGCAGGTGTAAACATTATTATGTGGTATATTATTTTGTTACCAAAGTGCTTTTAAATACATGACTTCCTTTTGATACCCATAACTCTGTGGTATGGGCAGAGTAGGCACAAACAATTTCAATATCAAGTAAGGCAAATTGAAGCTCTGTGAAGTCAAGCTCAAGATCCCCACCCCAGGCTAGCAAGTGATGGAGCCAAGACCAAAATCAGGTTTCTCTCCTCTTAATCTGGAGTCCAGGTGTGGTGCTGTGGGATTAAAGCACTGAATTGCAGGGTCAGTTTGAACTACAAGTCGGCAGTTCAAACTCACCAGCCACTCCTCAGAAACCCTATACAGGGTTGCTATGGGTTGAGACCAATTCAGTGGCACTTAATAACAACAACTCTTAATCTAGCACTTTCTCCCAGGCATAGTTGGGAAGGAGAATCCGCCACAGTGAGTTCACTGCTGGTCTTTTCTTCCTTTAATGACTGAGGAAGTGGAGGAAGCTAGGATCAATTTAGAGGCTAACCAAGCAGGTCAAGGCCGACAAGGCCAGTAGCAGAAAATGGGAAGTGAGGCAGGAAACAGGTGGAGGTTTGCACGGACACTTCCTATTCACAAACTTCTTAGACTCCTCATTTCATTAACAGCAGCAGTGGAATTTCATGGACAATTGGCATTGAGCACTAACTGGGAGGTAATGAGAGAGGGAGGATGCAGGTAAAGGCTGTTTGAATTTAAATTCTTTTTTTTCCTGGGGGAGGAGGGGATGGAGAGAGGCAGATTGTTTTTAGAGGCAATTTTAGAGCTGAAAAAAAGTTCATAGCAAACAGCTTTAGATACTTGTGTTCTGTGCCAGCAGATTTAGGCCCCTTCAGCACACTGTGTTCTTCTACCAATCTTCTGATGGTTGTCCTAGGCTGAGGGTGGAAGGATACAGAGGGAGTTAGTGCCTGGCCTCAGGTGGATTTTGTTCCTCAGACTCAGGAAACCTAGAAATGTGTCTACCGTCAAATGTGATTTAGAATGAGTGCTTGGTACTAAGTACTGTAGAGTCACCATATGCAAAATTCTCTATGGAGCTGGGCACAACTGAGGAGTCAACTAGGAAACAGTACTGTTAGTCTAGGAGTTGAGGTGTATTTATGGAATCAAATGGCACATCTGTTGTTACTAAATACTGTCGAGTCACTTCAGATTCATAGAGACGCTCTAGATAGGGTTTCCAATACTTTAAATCTTTGCAGGAGTAGAAAGCCTCATCTTTCTTCCACTGGTGGGCTTAAATCGCAGACCTTGTGGTTCACAGTTCAGTGTTTATCATATGGAGCTACCACACTCCCTAAATGACACATACACATATATAAAAGGAGGCTGACTATAAAGTAATATGAAACTAAAGAAAGAGATGAGGAATAGAATCATAGGATCATCAGGTGAAAACAGTGAGTGGAAGGAGACTGTTTTGAGCAGGGATCTGAGAGAGACTTGGCATGCAGATTAGAGAAATAAAGGAAGAGAACGTCAACTACTCAGTAGTGGTTTAGGTGGAAATAAACCTCTTCCTGAGAAGGACAGCAAGCAGATTGGCTTGGCTGGATTGAATACTCTGGAAGAGGAACCAATGAGAACTGAAGAAAGTCAAATACAAGAGGAAAGACATTTGTGCTAGGCTTGACTCTTAGGATTCAGGTTATGTGTGTGTCATAAAATAGGCTATCCAATCCAGATTTTGTGCTCATGAGGAATCTGTACATGAACCAAGAGGCAGTTGTTTGAACAAAACATGGGAACACTGAATGGTTTAAAACAAACAAAGGTGTAAGACACGGTTGTATTCTTTCACCATTATTTGCTAAGCAAATAATCCGAGAAGCTGGGTTACATGAAGAAAAATGTGGCATCAGGATTGGAGGAAGACTTATTAACAACCTGCAATATGTAGATGATACAACTTTGCTTGCTGAAAGTGAAGAGGACTTAAAACATTAACTGATGAAGATCAAAGAGCACAGCCTTCGGTATGGATTGCATCTCAACGTAAAGAAAACAAAAATCCTCACCACTGGACCAATAAACAACACTCTTATCAATGGAGAGAAGATTGAAATTGTCAAGGACTTCATTCTTCTTGGATCAACTATCAACCCTCATTGGAAGCAGCTGTCAAGAAATCAGATGATATATTGCATTAGGCAAATCTGCTGCATAAGACCTTTATAAAGTGTTGAAGAGCAAAGATGTCAGCTTGAGGACTAAGGTGTGCCTGACCCAACCATGGTATTTTCAATAACCTCATATGCATGTGAAAGCTGGACAGTGAATAAGGAAGACCGTAGAAGAATTGATGCATGTGAGTTATGGTGTTGGAGGAGATTATTGAAAGTACCATGGGCTGCCAAAGAACCAACAGATCTGTGTTGGAAGAAGTGCAGCCAGAGTACTCCTTGGAGGCCAGGATGGCCAAACTTCATCTCTCATACTTCAGACATATTGTCAGGAGGGACCAGTTGGTAGAGAAGGATATTATGTTTGGTAAGGTGGAGGGTTAGAGAAAAAGAGGAAGACCCCCAGCAAGATGGATTGGCAAAGTGACAGCATCAATGGGCTCAAGCATGGCAACAAATATGAGTTTGGCCCAGAACCAGGCAGTGTTTCATTCTGTTGTACATAGGGTCATTATGAGTTGGTACTGACTCAATGGCACCTAACAATAACAACAACACTGAAGAATATGAGCCGGAAGTTGATTTAGCCAAGTGCAAGGTGACCAGGACTCTTCTGAGTGAGTGACCATGGGCATGGATAGGAAGTTAAGTAGATTTGGGGACAGTAGAAAGCAAATTCTTTGAACCCAAGTACTACACATGCTGTCTATTCCTCAGTTCAGTACCTTACATGAGGCCATTGTTTTCTAAATGTTGTGTTAGATTGGGGCTGGAAGCCTGGGCACCTGGGTCTCCTCCTAAAACAATGGCCTGCTGAGGAGTGATATGGAGATAGTGGAAGCAAGACCTTCAGAGGATATTTTGATTATGGAAACTTTGTGTTCTGGCTTGTACAAGGTTGACCATAGAAATCAAGCAAGCAGAATATAATTGATTTATCTTCACATTGTCTACTGTGCCTAACATCATACCTAGGACTCAATCGATACTCAATAGATTTTGTTGAATGAATGACTCTCTGACTGAATGAATAAATGACCAATCTGGGACTGGGACATGGAATGATCTTACATTTAAATATACAAATATGTATGTATGTGCCTAGACAGGAGCCATGGTGGCACAGTGGTTAAGCACAGTTCAATCCCAAATCTCTACATGGTTGAAAGATGTGTTAGTCTTCTTCTGTAAAGGTTTACAGCCTTGGAAACTCTAGGGGATGTTCTACTCTTTCCTAGAGGGTCACATGTGTCAGAACCAAGTCAATAACAGTGGGTAATGGGTTTGGGGCCTAGACATTTTCTGAGAATACTGAGAGTGGTTACAATGAGGGCATGAAGTGGAGTAAGTAGGAAAGTTGACATTATTTATTGTGTATGGTGTAGTGTGTATGCATTTTCATCACAAATGCACCTCTCCTGTGTCATTCAGTAAGTAGTTCATTAGGTGTGAGTACCTACACTGAATGAAAAGAAGTACTGGGGGGTGTTGTTGTTGCTAAGTGCAGTGGAGTCAGCTCGGACTTATAGCAACACTATCTAGGGCTTCCAAAGAGCAACTGGTGGATGTGAACTGCTGACCTTGCAGTCCAAACCAACCTTACTGGCCAGTGCATTATCTTGCATTGCCACACCAGGACTCCAGAATGGGGGTGTTGTTGGTGTTGAGTGCCATCAAGTTGATTCCAACCCATAGCAACCCTGTATAGGGTTTCTGAAGAGCAGCTGGTGAGCTTGAACGCCAAACTTGCAGTTCAAACCAACCTTATAGTCGAGTGCTTATCCTACAGATCCACACCAGGACTCCATTATGGTGGTGGTGGTGGTAGTGTGTCGTGGAGTCAGTTCCGACTCATAGTGACCCTGTATAAAGTTTCTGAAGCTGTAAATCCTTACGGGAGCAGAAAGCTTCATCTTTATTCCATGGAATGGCTGGTAGTTTCAAACTGCTGACCTTGAAGCTAGCAGCCTGACTCGTTACCACTACACTACCAGAGCTCCTGGAAAATTTTGTGACCCACCTTTTCTTCTTGTCCAATCTCCCCACAAAACCATTACAACCTTCCCCAAGTTCCATGACATCACACTGACACCACCAAAGTCAGTCTTCACAGGCTTCTCCACAGTGCCCAGAGGGAGCCCAGAGTGATGGTGTAGAGTCCCAGCACCAAGAGGTAGCTTCGAAAGAGCAGTTGGTCGAAGCGATACAAGAGGGTCAGCCAATCAATTTCTTGTCGGTCAACCTGCTCCAGAACCTGGAGGTAGTTGCTTAGGGACTGCAGCTGGGACCAGACTTCTTTCAAGGTCCCTGAATGAACCTGGTGTTCTTGACCATTAGGGGACTCTGTGTGATGGAGAAAAACACACTATATGAGTCAAGAGTTACCAACATCCATTTGGACTTTCCTTTGAAGCTGAAGATCTAAAATCCTTCAAGAAAGGCTGTGGGGAAAACTTGGCAGTGGGGTTGGGGTTGGGTTGGGGACTCTCTCCCTCCCTGCTGAAGGAAGGCAAGAGCTGTGTTGTATAACGAGGGTGCAACTAAGCAGGTCCATCAAGGAGACTGTTTGGGCTAGAACCACCCCTCTTTGCCTCAGCTGGAGCTTTACAGGCTGGGATAGATAAATTCTTACTCTTTTTAATGTAAGCTAAACTAGAATGTAAATACGTACAAAGTTCTCTAGATATGCCTCTATATCTACCTACCTATCTTTATCCAGGAGTCCTGGTATGGCACTGTGGGTTAATGCACCAGACTGCAAAGCCATTTGAACTGCAAGGTCAGCAGTTCAAACTCACCAGCTGTACCTTGGAAACCCTATACAGGGTAGCTATGGGTCAGAATCAATTCAATGGCCTTTCACAACAAAAACAACATCTTTATCCATGCCAGAAATCTACACTTCTAAAGTCAATGGCTCAGTCACTTTGGGTAATTAGTTGTGACTAGAAAATTTAGAAAGCTAACATTTCTTAGAGCCAAAATTAAGCTTTCTGGAAAGTCAGAGTCTTCAGTCGCAAAAGAGGTACTGAAAATTTCAGCACAGAGGCTAAGAAGCAAATGTTTCTGATTTATCACTCAACTAAAACCATGGTCTGATGTTCCCCAAGGAAACTGAGGCTGAGGAGGATAGGGCTATACAAAACAAGGCTCCTCACAAACCTGTCACCCCAACAGGCTGAATCCTGGGATCCGTTCTAGTCACTACATCAGCATCGCTGCCCCCTCGAAGACACAAGAGGGGCCGCTTTGGCTCACTGCGCCGCCCATCATGTAGGTATTTGATCAACAGGATGGACTTGGACAAGCTGAGGACCAAGAAGGCCATGCAGACTGTGAAGAAGATCCCTGGGAGAAGAACACAGTGGACTTAGCTGGAGTTTCCAGGCTTCGCCCTCCTCCAACTGGAAGTACAACATCATCTCTTTGACAACAGTAATAGAAGATGGGTGTGTGGTGGTCTTCCGGCTGCTTACCAATCAGAGGGGTGCTCACTGCACTCCTTGGCACCTCATCAGACATGTTGACCCTGAAGACAGTATAGCCCACCAGCACACTGGTCTTGAACACAATCCGGGCACGGCAGTTGGGTGGTAGGTAGAAGCTTCCCAGGTCCACAAGCATTAGGAAGATGCTGGGAATCAGCAGGCTCACGACATACACCAATGGGCGCCTGCGAATCACCACCTGGCCAATGACAAGGAATCTGTTGAAAAGAGAGATCAAGCCAGCTGACTAATGTTTGGCCAAATAGCCAATAATGCTCCCAGAACGCTTCACATTTATGCATAATGTGAAAAATCTACATAGTTGACTTCATTGTTGTTGTTGTTGTTGTTGTTGTTGTTAAGTGCCGTTGAGTCAGTTTCAACCCATAGCTACCCTGTATAGGGTTTCCAAGGTGCGGCTGGTGAGCTTGAACCGCCAACCTTGCAGTTCAAATGACTTTTCAGTCTGGCTCATTAACCTACAGCACCATACCAGGACTCCTTTAGAAATATGCTTCTAAAGGAACAAATGTATTGACTTTAGAAATGTAATCTTGACTATTTTGTGGTTCACAAAATAGGGAGAAAATCCCTTGAGTGTTTACATAGAGTTAATAATAGTGTTATTATTATTAAGTGCAATATTAAGATACTATTTGTTCACAGAGCCCTGATGTGGTGCTGTAGATAAGCACTGGACTGATAAACGCAAGGTCTGTGGTTCAAACTCACTAGCCACTCCTCAGAAACTATATAGGTTCACTGAGTCAAAACTGATTCTATAGCACTTAGCAACAAAAATTTGTTCACCAAGGAGCCCTGACGGCTCTATATAGGATAAGAATTGAACTGCAGTTGAAATTCACCAACTGCTTTGAAGGAGAAAGATGAGGCTTTCTGCTCCTGTAAAGATTTACAGCCCCAGGTTGCTATGAATTAAAATCTACTGGATGCTAGTGGGTCTGGGGTGGATATTTGTTTACCACTTGCTGTGTGACAGGTACTGGAGTAAGTGTTTCCGTTGGTTTATCTTATTTTAAGTCTCACAACTCTAAGAGCTGAATATTCATATTTCATTTTATAAACAAGGAAATGGAGATTTAAAGACACTAAGTTGCTTACCCACCTTCACACAGCTGGTAAGAAACTGTTCAACTGAGCCCAAGGACAAGGACATATCCATGGAGGGCTAGAGCTGAGAGTGAAGCATCCAGCTGATAGGAAGTGAGGGGAGACACACAAGAACACCCAAACTTGCAGATACTAGCCTCGAGGGCTTAATGATCAGAACTTGACTAGAGGAAGATTTAAAAAAAAAAAAATTTTTTTTTTGATAAAGGAAATGAGGGTAAATTGCTTAAATTTGATGAACTTGACCTATATTCATGGAGATAATAACTCTAAATCCCAACAGAGAGGGAAGGAGTCTTCACATCAAGTATCAATGCTATCCCCTCTGTACACAGGGTAGATAGGGACAGGCAAATTAGACATTGGCTACCTAAAATGAGGGTGTCCTGGTGTGGCACTGTGTGTTAATGTGCCAGACTGCAAAGCCATTTGAACTGCAAGGTTGGTGGTTCAAGCATAGCAGTTGCTCCTCGGAAACCCTATACAGGGTCGCTATGGGTCGGAATCAACTCGACAGCACTTAACAACAACAACAACCTAAAATGAGGGAGCAATAATGGCATGAAGTGACTGACTTACAAGGTTTCAACAGGGAATTTAGTTTAAGAATGTGTGGGGTAAGATAGAGTCCCCACTAAATAGTTTTCATCTTGTCCAGATGGGTCTGGTAAAAAGAGACGGGGATAAGATTCTTATGATTCAATAGTAATTGTTATCATGACCAATTGCGACTGTCACAATTGTAAAGGTAGAAGTTTTGTAACAAAAATGGTGGAGTAGCTAATCTTACAGACCAGAAACAGGGGACCTTAGGACCACCAAGGGAGAAGAGCACAAGCAGAACGCAGGACCTTATCCAGAGAAGCAGGGACACCAGACGGAGGTAGAGATGGGGACATGGAGAGAGGGAGCAGCTAAACACTCTAGATTCATGGGAAGAGAGGGACTGAGAGCTGGCAGCCAGGAGGCAGACTTGCAGAATGTGCCCTTTGGTGGTGTAAAGTATTATATATGCCTGAGTGTTTAAAAAAAAAAAAGCTAAAATGAGTAGAGAGAAATACTATTAACATGTTGTTGTTGTTAAGTACCGTGGAGTTGGTTCCGACTCACAGTGACCCTACACAGGGTTTCCGAGGCTGCAAATCTTTATGGGAGCAGAAAGCCTCATCGTTCTCCTGCGAAACAGCTGGTAGGTTCAAACTGCTGACCTTGAGGTTAGCAGCCTGATTCGTAACCACTACGCTACCAGAGTTCCTTGGTACATGGAGGGGATTATAATCATTGTTATGAAACAAGGTGTATGATTTGTTGATTGTAAAACTGATGATCTGCCCTGTAAACTTTCACTCAATTCACAATAAAAACATTTAAAAAAAAAATAATACTCATATTCCTACTATGAGTAAATCAAGCATAATTTTCAAGACACAAGTTTTAATCTAAATCCCAAATGAGAGCTCATTTATGACATTTAAAAATTTTTAATAAAACAGTGTATGAAACAAACAAAAATAAACTGTTTAAAATCAAGTCTTACACCAAAATCTTTCTTCTTAAACAACTTATTATGTATCATATTGTAGTGTATATTGGGTTTTTCCTTTTCTTAAGTTTTTGTTGGGAATTGGGTGAAGTTTTGCAGAGCAAATCTGTTTCCATTCAACAATTCACACACATTTTGTTTCATGCCATTGATTACAATTCCCACAATGTAAAAGTCCAAATCCTACTTCCTCCATGTGTTTCCTATGTCCATTCCTCTTTCTTTTCTAACCCATCTGAACTTTGCCCTTGGGTAAATGCTGTCTTTTTTTTTTTTTTTTTTAATCTCAAATGGTTGGCTAGTCTCATGAGTGTGTACTTCCCTAGCGTTACTGTTCCCCTTATAAACCTGCCTATTCTTGGCTGAAATTAAGACATAGACTGCTATGTCTTGAGTTTACTTCTTGACCTGAAGGGTGACTAACAGCCATAGTCACTGGGCTTCTCCGAGTCTCTATCAGACTGTAAGTCTGATCTTTTTCATAATTTTGAGTTTTTTTCCACATATTTCTCCCACTCAATCCTGGACCTTCAAATGTACTTCTTTTCAGAACAGTTGGTAGTGGTACGGGCACCATCTAGTTCTTCCGGGCTCAAGGTTGTGGAGGTTGAGGTTTACATGGTATATGCCAGTTTTTTGTTTTTCATTGGTTTATCTGTCAGGATCTGGGTGGAAACAAAGGGAACAATTCAATTGAAATTTTTAGAAGGCATCCATAAAGAAGTTGTGACCAAGGAGTAAGGGAAACACATGAAGTTGTGCAGTATCCCAGGGTTTTTAAGGGACTAGGTGAGCAGTTAACTACCCTTAGGCCTGAAGTAGCCAATGGGAGGCTTTGGTCACTAGAACCTGAGGAGAGAAAGCCGTGTGCAGATGACTGCCAGAGAGATGACTGCGGCTTTCTCCCAGGGACTCAGCCAGGCATTAACTCCACAGGGAGGGAAATGGAGACATAAGCAAACACCCACTTGCTCTCTTCGCTCTCTCCCATCTCCTGCTATCCCCTAGCACCACTGGCCAAACAGGACTAGAGATCCCATTTCTACAGGTCCCACAGCTCACCCTTGCAGGGAGGAGGAGAAGGAACGTGGGTTTGAGTGGGAGACCAACTCAAGATATTCAGCTCAGCCTGCAGTATGTCAGTGCATACGTAACTGCTGAATGGGCATTATGGCTTGGATTGTGAGGCTCAAAAGATCATGGTCATTGTGGTTGCCCTTTCTTAGACGATTTCTCTGGGGTGTGAAAAGAAAAAACTAGGGAATGAGAGGTTTGCTTCTCCCACAAGACTATGGACCCCTTAAGCATGAGTTGTTGTGAAGTGCCATTGAGTTGGTTCCCACCCATAGCGACCCTGTAATAGGGTCTCTGAGGAGCAGCTGGTGAGCTTGAACTGCCGACCTTGCAGGTCAAATGGCTTTGCAGTCTGGCGCATTAACCCACAGTGTCACACTGTAAGAGAAGCAACTTTTTTTTTTTTTTTTTTTAAATCTCCCACAGGGCCAAAACTTGCACCTACCTTAAAGTGCATGTTAAATAAATGTTTCTTGACATGAATGGTCTGGGCTTTTGCTACAGAATTTAGAAAATAAGTAATGTTTGAAAGCTCCCAGTTCTCTGGTTCCACAAACAACTGAATGATGTCTGTGTGTCAGGTAGGGTTCTAGAGACTTGTACATATACAACTTTATTGGCAAGCTGTTGTTGTTAAATGCTGTCCAGTCGGTTCTGACCCATAGAGATCCTGTATAGAGTTTCTGAGGCACAGCTGGTGAGTTTGAATCGCCAACCTTGCAGTCCAGAGCATTAACCTACAGCACCACACCAGGACTCTATTGGTATGTAATAGCTCCATTTTATATAGTTAGAAGATAAAGCTCACCCCTATCTTTGTTCTCTAGTGCTGCTATTAACAGAAATACCACAAGTGGATGGCTTTAGCAACTAGGATTTATTCTCTCACAGTTTGAAGTCCAAACTCAGAGCACTGGTTTTAAGGGAAGGCTTTGTCCTCCCTGGCTCTGGGAAAAGGGCCTTGTCTCCTTTCAGCATCTGTAGGCCCAGCATTCCTTGGAGCTCTCCATGCGTCTTGGTATCAATCTTTCCCTGGATCTAGGGGCTTCATAGTACAGGGACCCAGGTCCGAAGGACACACACCATCTTGGTGGGAGTAGGTCCCTCTTTCTCTGCTCACTTTTCTCTCCTTTTATATCTCAAAAGAAATTAACTCAAGGTTTGTTGAATAAAAGTGATGCTCTGCTCTGTAAACCTCCATTCACAATAAAAATTTTAAGAAAAAGAAAAGGAACTAACTCAAGATACAACCTAATCCTAGAGATTGCCTCCGACCTTATTAACATCATAGAAGTGAAACTTTACAACACAGAAGATAACTACATCAGATCACCAATCACATCTAGATTTTATCATGAAGGTGGTAACTCCATCTTAACTGCAAAACCACTGAGAACACTGGCCCACTCAAACTGACACAAAACCTTAACTATCATAGTCCCCCTTAAGTG